TTTGCCTCTGGCAGCCCTCTTTCACTTTGGCAGTCTGACTGATGCACACATCCAGGACCTGTCAACAGCCTCCATTTTTTTCAGGCGAAGGGTCGGGCGATTCAAAGCGACACCCTGTCAACCCTTAGATGCCAGCTAACCAGAAAACCGTCCTAGAAATTCTCTCCTGCCTACCAGGTGCTTCTCCTAGGTCTGGGCGAGTTTGGAACCTTCACATCACATTGTGTTCCTTTTGCCATCTTTTTCAGGAGACGTTTGGCACACCTCCAACAGGCAAGCGGAATCACTGGGGGGCCGAACATTCTTACAACTTTTCCAACAAGCCCACCAATGGCCGGGGTCACCGGGCTTCCCCTTCAAATGTCACAACTTACTTGTGGTTCTCCTTGAAGCTGCCACTTTTGAAAATATTGAAAATTCCAAAAAAAGGAAATGGAGGAAACCTGCATGATGCTTTCCCACTGTCCCGACCGGCTCAGAGCCCTGCGCACTGCAACACTCCCACGGACAAGGTCGGTGGCACCTGGCTGTTGATCTTTACTCACTTGCCTAAAGGACCCAGAAATAACAGGTTAGGTCCTCCAGTAGAGAGGTTAGAATAAGGGTACCCTTTTTTCTATAGTCTATTGTAGTAGGGGAACCCTCCGTAAAAGGGGACTACTGGAGGACCTAGGAGGTTAACGCTTTGGGGTCATGACTAAAATTGTCCAAAAAGGGAAAACTAAACGGTCAAAAGGTCGGAATTGAACATCACCGGAACATGGCTGGATCTTCCTCTCACCAATGTTCATTTTGGAGCGCGTTCAATGCCATAAAGATCACCCCAAAGGAAACTTAATTTTGAACAACAAAAACAAAGGAAGAACATGTACATAGCCATATACCAGCGTATGTGTGTGTGTGTGTACATGCATGCATTACAACTACGTTTCGCGTTACATTACATTGCATTCCAGTGCATCGCGCTGTATTACACTACATACATGCTCTTATACATGTCTATATATATATATGTATCTGTTGATCAATCTCTATCCATATACATGTACTATTTGTAGACCGCATGGACCCTGCGTTTGTTCGGTGTCGCATAGTTGTTTTTTTTTTGGTAAATTTATTCTTTTTTAGCATAAACAGCCTTTCACAATTGAAGGCAAATTCAGTGTAACAAAACAAGTCATTCCCTTGATTAAACAAATGCACAATGCGACCAACAAATGACATCATACTTGGACACGGGTTCCTTAAATTTAAATTACACATTACTTGGAACTGACACTCAGTTCCAAATATCAAACAAATACATGTCCTTGTGCAGCTTCATTTCAACCTTATATAATTAAGCTCTATTCGACAACATTTCTTGAAAGGAATTCCTGCTCAAGTTGTTGTCCCAGGGCGCCAGGCATGGATCTTCAAAACACAGCCCTTGTTCTTCCCAAGGGTGTCCGCATTCCTCATAAAAAAAAAGCAGCCATCTCCTTCGGCCCCCCTCCCCAAATTCAAAGTGGAAGGCAGGGCTGCTTGTCTGAGCCCGGAAGATCTGCTTGGCGTCACTGTTTAACGCTCCTGTCATTGTTCGCCCCTGAAAACAGGGTCAAACTCGGCAGCCTGCCTCAGTTATATGGTGAGGTTCGGAGGAACTTCATTTTTATATACAGCTTTGTTTTTAGAAGCTATACTGCGGCGTGTGTCTTTGTGGTCAAAAAAGGCCATGCAAAACAACACTTTTCACTCGAAACAAACAACGAGCGGACACTGAAGCTGGGACTCAGCTGGTCCTCCTGTTGAGCAATCAAAATGTGTCCGATCCCGCTTCCCTCCCTCACTTGGGTTTTGCATCAATCTTACAGATTTGGTCTTTGCTTCGCAAAAGATACCTATTCCTTTGGCTACGGATACCTTTTGTGCAAGTGGCCCAACCACACAATTCTGACAGAATTTTGCCAAATCACAGGGATTACCCTGTTCCCCTCGAGCTCTTCGAGGGACCCACGCAAAAATAAATATAAACACAATATTTCTCTACCACCAGACCTTCGAGACGGAAGGTTCGACGCGCCGGGGCAACGGGCCTCACTGTGGCTGGTAAACCAAGGGTGCTCCAAGCATTGCGTCGCATCGGGGCCTCGGCTGAGAGAGCCAAGCAGGCAGCTTAGCTGTCGGCTAAGCAAACTGGAGCGCGTGAAGCCGCAAATTAGCACTCTCTCCGGGTCGTTGCTTTCTGTTCATCGAAAAGCAGCAAAAATCAAAGCACCCAACAAGTTTTAAAGGGTTTCTGCTTCGAACCAAAAGGATAAAATCCCAGGGACACCCGGTATTATCATTTTTTTCGTGCAGGGTCGAATCGGGACCTCGGAATTCGGAGAATTCTGGGAATTCGGGCGTGAGGTGTCCTCCTTGTCCAGCATGCGCATGAGAAGATCGTTGCCTGTGGAGGAGGGCTTCCCCAAACCGGGCAGCTCCCAAAAACCCCAACCCTCTACACTTCCACAGATTTGTTCATGGAAGCTGGAAAACTGATGGGTGTTTAGAGGAGTACCTAACATAAATGGAGCTGAGTGCCTCTAAAACAAACACCAAAACAGGCAATTACCCCCCAAACAAGACACACCCACATGCATATTTGAATTTGGGGGTGCGGACAAGCTTATCAGCCATGATGCTCTTAGCTGCCCTGTCGGCAAATTGGATGGATTCCACTAGTACAGGACTAGTACCAAACTGAAGCCAGTGAGACCCATCAATGTTCAACCGAACTGCTCTGCTGAGCAGTGTTGCAAATGGACGCGTGTGCCCCCAACCCCAGCCTGGTTCTCTGCAAGTTAATTGAGATATGATTATCTCAATAAAGAAGCCCCATTTGCCGAAAGCCAATTCTAGGACATCTATCTCTCATCTATCGAATAGCTACTCTTGTTCTCGTTGGCATCCCGGGAATTCGCGTGCAAACAAGAAATATCTACATAAAACCAACATTAAACTACAAAAAAACTACTAACATACGCCGTCAATCCTTGGCTTTCTCCCCAGCTCTCACCAATCACTATTTTCGTACTACAAACGAGAGGGCTGGAACCAATCAAAGATGCCAGCCTTGCAATTCTCAACTCTGCCTGACCAGGAAATGAGGGTCTATCATGCTTGCGAGCAGGGTGCTGTCTGCAGCATCAAAATCCAAGAAACACAAGTCAGGCCGAACCCAACTATTAGGCGAGCATACTTGACTCGACACTGACACAATATCTGCTCAATACTAGCCACGCACCAAACATGATTGGAAGAAGCCAACAATTACGTTGTGTGTGTGTCAGCGAATTGGTTTGCCAAAGTTAGAATGGTCGGTCACCACTCGGAATCCGGAATTGCTCGACCAGGAAAAAGGAAGTCGTATTGGTTTGCTTGCTTTCCAACTTCAGTCAAACCGTGACAAACAACTTGCAGCATCAAGGCTCGCATTGTACATTAACTTCCTTTTGCCAAGCAGTGTGACTTGGGGCCTCTTGCAACAGCCTTGGTGTTCAACTTGCCCCCAACACAAGCGGCGCACGTGCCGCACCGCACCCCTTTAAAGGCACCGGATATGCCCTCGCTTCGGTTGCACTTGTGGCTGCCACTGCTTCTGTCGTCGCTTTGCCGCAGACGCGGCCTAAAAGCAATGCCAGAAACCCACTCTTATCCTTCGGTACAGAGACATGTTGCCTCCGCAAATGCACATGCTGCAGCCGATGAGTCCAACTTCAAGAATTAAACCCGTCACTGACAAGGACTGCTGACTTTCTCTTTGACAGCAAGACTACAATCTTAGACTGACTTATCTCCCCGATTAAAGTGGCCTTTCGAAAGCATGATTTTGAAAACCGCGCTCAACCAGCCTCGTTTTTTTTGAACATGGAGCCAAATCCTGATGCCTAGCGGCTGCGTGCAATATCATGTTTCTTGCGATGACGGACCTGATTGCAAAAGCACGGAATACAGCATGCCCGGCAAGGCACAAACTTTCCAAAGGCACACAACGTTGGCCCTGACATGTTCCCAAAACCCTTGAGCAAACTGAACCTTGGAAGCTCCTTGGGTGGGTCAGTATGGGTGTACCTTCCATCGGCTGCAAATCTGCGGACACCTGAATTCAGGTCAGGTGCTGCAGCCATTTTCATAGACCCAAGGGTCCATGGCCTAGGCTGATCCTGAATCAAACCTCGAGACGTACCTAAGAAATATCTCGCCGGGCGTCAGAAAAACCATTGGCTCGGGCTTTATATCGAAAGCCAGTCTTAGTGTTCCAATAAAATCCAAGGTTCACGTGGAATGGACCCAGAATTCCATGGGCTGTGGGTCCATGACATGTGGCCAGTGTGACCTTGACATGTTCTGCGCTGTTCACAGATGTCGTATGTCTCGCGTGACGCTTTCGGCAAGTCACGGCAGGGTAAGAGCTCCAACGAAGCAACGGAACCCGTTGGGTGAGACGATGCTTGCATCCCCGTACACGTGTTCTCGGTTGCCCAGCGGCAGCTGAAAAAAAGAAATCAAATCATGAATTTGAGCTCTCCATGTGTAATGGGAAACCAATTGGAACAAGAAACTAAAGAAAACAAAAGCCTGCCAACAGAACAACCGGGCGTTCTGAGAAACAAACAACCCGTAAACCTTCATTTGGATGTATCTTTTTTGAGGCATCAAAAAAGATACATCCTTCAAGGATCTTCAAGGGCTGTTTAAACAATAACACATGTGTGCTTTGTGCTTGTTTTGTTCTTCTTTTTCGGGGCGGGGGGGGGGCGCCAGTTCTAACACGCTCCTAGTTCTGCCCAAAGAGGCCCATAGAGGCTTCTCGACTACTTCTCCAGACATTTGTTTCACTGGGAACTCAGCGTAAAGATCACTCCCCTCCACTTGGTTGACGTTGGAAGGGGAGCAACAAAAAACAATCTTAGAAGTCAAGTGGTTGGATTTCAACCACTAAACCACAATGAGCAAACATTTGTAAAATGCAAAACCCAACAACAACCAAGTCCAGTAAACGGTTGCTGGGCAACTAGAATCACCAGAACCTCAGGGTGCACAAGAACCCGGTGCAGCTTAGCTGCACTGGCACCTGCTCCCAATGCGCCCTCCCTTTGTCCACGTACTTCCATTGGAAGCCCTTGCCGTGAGGCCTAAGTCGTGCCCAAGCAGGCACGCAAGAGCTCGGGGGCGAAATCTGCGAAGCCCTGCGAAAAGTGACTAACTTTTAGTGGTTTAATTCGGAAAACCCATTAGTTGGCAAAAAGTTGTTCAGTCCTAACATCCCTTGGCAAAATACACCAAAGAGAGGGTTTGCTTCTCGATCTGTGTTGGGGATTGGCAAAGCCCACTTGCACACACACCAGGTTTTCTCAAATCGGGACCAACATTGGTCAGTGTCCTTTGGGTACTCCTTTGCTTTCCCCAAAGGACGGCGTGTCTGCCAACAGTTTGGAGTACAATTCTGCTCGGGGCTGCTTTTGGACAAGGTTGTTTTCCCGAAGGACTCAGGTCCCAGTCAATGTTCATCGTGTCGTGTCAAACTAAAGTGTTCTAGATGCGTCACGAGGTCGGACAATCGCAGCAATGCAATTGGCAACAAATGCAATGAAGCCACCATCCCTCCACGCGGGTAAATCTGGTGCGGTCACGCAAAAATAACTTGGCACAACTCACAGCACGTACTTGGAAACAATTTCAAACACACCCACACCCACACCAACACAATGTCGGTAACGTGTCTACAGCTTCTCAGGGCTCGATCTATTCTCTCCTACGACTCAACAAACCTTGCCGTATGCGTTTTTGCCTGGTTCCTCCAAAGTGACAGTCACCCTTGTGGGGTGTGTCATTTTCCCATCGTCTCAAGGCGGTTGCGGGAAAACGCCTACAACTTGCGGGAAGTTAGCCAAATTTCCTTCGCGACAAGCCCAGGGCCACGAGGAACTGGAAGTTCTGACCATGGGTTGCTACATGATTTTCCCTCAACAAAAGCCCGGGGAGATGTGGGAAAAAAAAGGCAATGGGCCAACAAATCGACATGAGCTTTGTTGCGGCCCACTTGGTTGCTGTGGACCCCCTGCAAAAAGTTTCACCTCTTGCGGGTTGAGTGGGGAACACCCCGCAACTTCCCCCAAAAAGCTAAGGTCTAAAGATCCGTTGCCCGATAGCAGTCAAGCCCAAGGTGTCAAGGTGCAGGGAGGGCTGCTGGTTCCCCGGTCGCAGGAGCTCCACCTTGGGGATCTGCACCTGGTGCCAATGCCTGCGCCGGCGGTTTTTGGGGCCGACGAATCGGGCCTTCAGGGTCTGATTTCAATTTCAACACAAAACACGCTCTAGGTTCTCCAGACTTGAGAGGTTAGAAGTTGGTACCGGAGCTTTTTTCTGTCTATTTTTGTGGGGGAACCCTCCCCCCAAAAGAGCCCCAAAATGGGGAACAATCACTTTCAACTGGAATCCGGATGTCCACGCCCCTCTGCTTCCACTGCTGGAGCACCCCGCTTGAGTGAGGCGTCCATACAAACATACCCTCCACCCATCGCGGAAGTAGACAGAAGGCAAGTTTGAGCGCCACTTTTCAGCTGCCACGTTGTAGTTTTTCTTCACCAGGGGGCCTTTTGTTCGCATCACCCCAAGGAAAGCCACTTTTCAGGCGGCCCAAAAGGCGATGTCTACCACCACCGACCACCAGGCGCGCCTTTCGCCGTTCTCCCGGTAGAACTTCCACATGTATCCCTCACCCGCCAGCACAGATGGCAGCTTGTCTTCACTGTCTGCCTGGCACTACCGCAGTCCGCAGTACCCGCTTTGAAGATGTGGGGGAGCAAAGGGAACCCATTCACCTTCGGGGCTCCCTGAGTTGAAAACAAATCCAAATGAATCTGGCCCACCTTCACATCGTTGTTGGTTGGCAATCCCCTGCACAACCAGACTTGCAACGCTAACTTGTTGCATCACATCTTCACTTTACGACCTCATCTGTTGTTGTTGGTCTTCCAGGGAGAAAACTGTTGCATGATTGTTGCACAAGCACAAATGAGTGTAACATGGTAAAGAAAGGAAAAACGCCGACCCTAGAACACATGCAAGAGACTTATGACGTAAAACCCAAAGCTCCCTACAAGGAACCTTAATATGGTTGGTGGACCCAAGTCCTGATGAACACTCAAGGGTTGCACACACCGTCAACATCTTGTCTGGGGCACAAGCACACACACACACATGTTGTGTCACAACGCGCAATGAACAGAACAGCTTTCGTGCAACATATGCAAAGCCCCAAACCGTGTCACAACGCGCAATGAACAGAACAGCTTTCGTGCAACACATGCAAAGGCCCAAAACCCACGACGTTTGCTTCTGCAATGTACGTTAGACAAACCCTCGCTGCAAGGCCTGCGAAACCGGAAACCAGAAGATCCAACCATGCCTAGGGTCCTGAGTGCTCAGCCGCTGGGTCCCCTGATTTCTTGCCACGTCAAGCAACCACGGATGTCCTTTTCCGAGGCCGCATGTCTTCTAGGTCGTCCAGAGAGGTTAGAATAAGGGTGCCCGATGATTTTTTTCTGTAGTCTATGTTTGTACGGGAACCCTCCCCCAAAAAAGGGTAAAAGAGCACTACTGCAAAACCTAGTCTTTCAGGAAATGTGCTCTTTTCCGAGGAAGGGGTTTTCAGGAAAAAAAAAAAAAAAAACGCATTTCTGGCGCGTCGGTGTGAGGCAAACTTCAAAACTCGGCCCGGCACGACATGGCGTGACCCGCAAAGGGGTCGAACAATGATGGGCCATTTGGGAAGAACAAAAACAAAACATGCACAGACTGGAAGAAACATTTGGAGAGGGGCTTCCCACTTGTCAATCCATCCCAAATGGCTAGAACCTTTGCGCATCCCTGATCCCTACTTTGTCTCTGTGGCTATTCCACTCAGACCTCTTGACCGGTTTAAACCTGAAAGGAACCAGCCAGGTCAGCAAAAGCTTGATTCATCGTTGGCTCCTGCACAGGAGCCTGGACCAATACACAAATTACTCGGTCAGTTTTTCTCAGGCCGCCAACTGTGACCTATAAGTCCCCACGAATCGATGATTGATCCAACTGGAAAGCAAAATTGAGGGATCACTCGTTTCCGGAGTTTCCTTACCGATTTGGGGCTCAGACAATACCTCAAGTGTTTTATGTTTCTAAGGCAAGTGGTCAAAGTCTTCTCCAGTTCCTTTGACACCGGAGAGCCGAATTATTTTGGTTGACCCGCAATTATTTGAGTGCGCCGTTGAAAGGGTCCCAAAGAGTTTGCTCTACAAATGGGTGTCTTTCTTTTGAGGGTATCCCTTTTATATGGATTTTAAAAGGGAAACCACAAGGAAAACCCATCGAATTGTGTGTGTCACCCAACAAAAAGGCACCAATCTTACACAGAACCAAACCGAAACGCCCATCAGCTCCTCCCCCCTCGCCTCTCGCCACTTGGGGATCGGCAATTGCATCCATCGTCCGATGTCCTGGGACACAAAAAGGGCGAAAAATCCCCGCCCAAGGTTCGGTCGGCTTTGGACAGGGCCTAGATCAATTTTGAGGACCTTTGGGGTATTTGCCAGCCATTGGGGGGTCCCGGCCACTATTGTTGGTTTTGCCCAAACGGGTAGAACCACCGGACTTGGCCGTGGCGGATTTACACGCGGAAATCCAATCATCGCCACGCTCGGCAATAGGTGCGTTTCTGTTGACAGGAGGCGTTGCCGACGGGCAGGCTTCCAGCAAAGCAAATGTGATGCCCAAACCCGATTTTTTCATGCAATCAGCCGATATGCAGCAGCTCCCGGTCGGGCACGTCTTCCACACATGGATGTGTGTTGGCGTGCGTCTTCTTTTAAGGTCCCTCTTTGGTCTTCAAAGGAATCCAAATGATGGAAACCTCTCATTTGGAGTCCCCCATGAGTACACCAATCCTTCCATTTGGTTAAGACCCCTGGAAAACACAAAAATATGTCTAGTAGTGATAAATTCCTTTTAAAACCAACAAGGGAAAGTAAACAATATTCTTGTCAGCAAATGGAAGAATCCTTGCGGCCGACTGTCCTTGTTGAACTGCCACATGAAGCCAGCGCCCGCTGGGGTGGTCGGCAGACTCAGGCGAGCGTGCGAATCAAAAACCGATTCGAAGCGCCCGAGGCGGCTGTGGAACCTCCGGTAGAGAGGTCACAATAAGGGTACCGTTTCTTCTGTCTGTAGTCTATTTTAGTAGGGGAACCCTCACAACCCAAAAAGTTGGTCAAAGGGCACTACTGGGGGACCTAGTAGCTGTTGAACCTTCGGCCTCGCAAACCCCTGAGGCGCATGAGAAACGTTCCGCGCGGAAGGGGAAGCCAACATAGATTCCTTGGGCACTTGCGACCGAACATATGTGATGAGTTGCAATGCGCCACATGCAGTTTCGTAGTTCGTCACACATCTTTCGCCCCAAACGGGGTACCCTCAGAAAGACACACCAGGCTCCTGACCCCATCTGGAATTGTAGGAGAGCACCTACAGTAACTATGCTCAAAGCATATGAAATGATAGTATGATGTCCCTCAAAATTACAAACCGCACCAATATGAATATATTTGGTGGGGTCCCCTACTTTGCAGCAGACCTAAGTATATCTTCCAATAGCCAGGTCCCTTTTGTGTCGGCTGTCTTTGGATGCCGCCAACTGTAGCAACAAATCTCTGGCCCTTGAGATCACTCGAGCACTGTATGAAGCCTCTGTATCAAATATGTTGGTCAAGCCGCATCCAACAAAAACTCTAGGGGTAAGACCGGCTTCCCATTTTCTGGAGGAATTAAGGGCTTGTGGTAGGGTTCTTCCGCTTGCCTGATTCTTTTTTGGGGGGGTTTGATCGGGTTTCTGTAAGAATTCCTCCGCCCAGCGGCTCGAACTGATCCAAGGTATGCCAGTCCGGGATATCAACTTGTTGCCACTCTCCCGGGTTGCCGTGCACCGAGATGAACTTCC